TATTAACACTACCGACACTATACATTTAATACTAAAGCCACTTTCAGTACATTACTAACAATCGTTATCATATCCTCACTTCTTACACAACCTGCAGTTATTTAGAACTGTTGATTGCACAGCTCATTATGAAGAAAACAAAAAAATTGTCTGCTATACCAAAATGGAACGTTAATTCCAAATTGACTTTACCTTGCTTTTTTTGTTGTTACCTAAGTTTTCTTTCTGTATACTAGAGCTGATTTTTTTATCCTTTGATTATATAACCTCTTTATAGCCCACAATAAACACTTTTGCTGCAAAGAGAAATGATTTACTCCTTGAAAAAAATCGGTGTCATTTTATACCAGTGCGAGGTCCTTGACCTGCTTATGAAAACCACTTTCCTCTTTCTCCAAACTTGTTTCTTTGGAGAGTTCCAACTGGTTGCTTTTACCATCACCTAACACAGCGGCCAAATTTCTGCGCAATGCAAGCGTGGAGATAATCTGACATTTTCGTTTAAGGCAGTCACCCAGGCAACAGATCACCAGCGTACCCATAGTTAAAGAAACTAGAATATTACATTGTGATGTTAAAATATTGATTGACAGCTTGCTGAATGCAACTTGAAACTTTCACTTCAACTTTTCTAGAATAGTTTGTGAATTATTTTCAAGTTCCATTTTCCAATATAAAACAAGGTAATTGCTGATCTGTTTCTAAGAAACAAAATAAAATTACTCAATGTTTGCCTGTTTATGAACGTAACAGACTGCAAGAATTTATCATTCAAATTGCCATTGTCTGAAAGTCACACTTCAAATTTAAAGTAGTCATGTGAAATATGACTTTTTTAGTTAAATTCCTAGTGAGTCTTGCTAATTTCATGCAGTAAACTATCAATCAATATTGGAACATTGCAACACAACGTTGATGAGTTCCTGTAAAATAAATTATCAGCAGTCTGACAGTAATTTGCAGGATTAGCTGTGTTGGTGATGTGACCAAAGACTAATTGGTATGTTTCGATGATGTTCGGTCTTTTAATGCGTTACAAAAAAAGAACCTACTGTATTGAAACTGATAGGGCAGGCAGTGCCTGAGTAGGAGTTTTTTGGAAGTAACTCCTCTTTATGAATTATAACACACTAAGTACAGTCCACATGAAAATGGTTTGTTGAGAATGTCCTGCTGGCAGGAGTGTTGTTAAGATTTAAAAATCAATGATGTTATATTTTAAACTTACCTTGTAGCTTTTCCCCATTATTGAGGTTATATTCTGTTANCGTGAAGCGGATGCAGTCGTGATGCCATCCCGCACGGAGGGCTTTGGGCTGGTGGCCCTGGAGGCCATATCAGCTGGTGTGCCTCTGCTGGTCTCCAGTGAATGTGGGATTACCGAAGCCCTCCAAACTGTGGATGGTGGAATGGCTGTCATCATCCCCTCAGCTTTACCAGAGGAATGGGCAAGCAGAATCCAAGAGCTATCAAAACAAACATCAGATGATCGAGAGACGTGCCTCTGCTGTACATCTGCGAGAGAATTATCGGAAGAAGTACAACTGGAAGGAAGAAAGTGGAAAGTTTGAGAAGATGATTCTCCAATTGGCTCTCAATCCCATTCCTAAGGAGACAGAAATCACAGGTTAATGGAAATAAATTTATGTATTTTTTAAATCATTTTCATTATCTCTCAATTGAAAATGTTTGCGCTGCGTGAATTATACATGAAAGATTTATTCCTCTGTACAGAATTGTTATATGACCAGGAAATGTCAGCTCTTTTTGTTTTTGGTAACTGAATATTGCTTACTTTGCCCTTACTTACTTTAAAAAATAAACAAAACAAAACCAAAGAAGCAAATAGTGAGATCACTTCTGAAAGAAATGTTGTAATTTACAAATATAAGACATTGTATTGATATAATTTAAAAGTGCTACTTAAAAATATTATGTTATGGATAATTATTGTGCATATTTATTTTCTTATTGTGCCTGTTTATGTGCTTATTTTTATTCCCATTTATTTTCTTTACATCTGTCTGTAGAGAAAGCTGTATGCTGTTTAAATGAAACAATGGAAACCCACAAGGAGACTTTGACAGTTTTGACAGCAACAGGTAAATTTTGTACAAATCCTTGGACAATAAGTAGTGCTTGCTGAGTAGGCTACAGATCTAAAAAGTTCATGACAGGGGAGTGGTTTGCCATTATGTTATTGTTAATTAATTCAATATTTTCACAAAAGTTTTTGCAATGTACGTATATATATGAATTTAACAATGATTGTGATGAAAGTAATTACTTTCAGAAGTATATGTGTCAATTATATGCAATAAGGTGCAGACCTTTCTAGTTTTTTGGGTTGTAGAATTCCCAATCCAAGAAAAACATGAAATGTTTATCCTGAGTATTGGGTCTGATGATTAAGGCAGCTGCAGCCTCAAATCTTTCAATTTTTAGGATGGTTTATCTGCTGAGCCACATGCAGCGAATTCAATGCTTGCCAGTTTAACAATTACCCATGGTTTTACCATAGTCCTGTCATAGAGGGTCTTGTGCACTGCTAGGATCAGCAAAGTGATAAGTGTTGCATGTGGGAGTGAGAAAGTTGTGATAAAACCATGATCATCATGGTTACTTACTGGTAATAGATTAAAATTCCCATGAAGCTTGATTCTATTCACATGTAATCTTCAACAGCATTATTAACCTTGTAGAATGCATGTGTATAATTTTCCATATTGTTTCTAGCTATCTGTTTTCTGTGTTACAACAACTTGAAGACAAATTTGTGTAACAATTATGAGTCTCTTTAGCTGGCAGTTGTTTCCTTTACTCTCGTGACCTAATAATCTTTGATTCATTGCTGACACTGTTAAAGGAGGAATTAAATGGACAGTATAAGTCACTTGGAGGGATTAAAGGGTTAGAACAAAACCAAACTATTATAACTCCCAAGAGTGGAATAGTGAAGTATGATGTTTGTCTTGATTGGCCCTTTTTTATTTGTGTTTGTGCGACCCACTTTATAACTGGCTGTAATATTAGCTTATCTGATATTTCTGTTCACTGTCCATAGATGATGTTCCACACAGCAGCTTAGAAGTTGGAAAAACAGAAAGAAATGACCAGAGAGAGTCTGCACCAGGTGAGTGTATGTAAATGTGATATTGTATGTTACGTACGCCCTAAATTTGGTTCATTGCTGTAAAATAGGGTTCAATATTGATGATAAAACATTTTCATTATGGGACTTAAGAAGCCCAGCTTCTCAGAAACAATTTTGCTTGGTTAGTGTTGCAATGTTGCCATTCTGTGTGTTGAGGTTGTGCTTCCTGTGCCCTGCCTGCATTTTGCACGACCAGCAGTTTTACGTTATGGCTATTTATTACCATGACCGCCATTTTGTATTTAGTCTTTAGTTGGGTTCCAAGTGAAGTAAGGGCTATTTAAGGCTCGAACTTGTCAGTTAGCTCACATTGTAGAGAACTGAACTGCCATGCCAAGGTCAAGGGTTCAAGTCCCAGACCAGATCTACACTCAGGGTCCTAACCCTTAACAAAATGAACTATACTTTAAGTATACACATGTACACGAAGTATACTGCACCAAGTATACTAGAGGTATATTATATGTATACTTTTATTATACACTTGATGTATACTTTTTGTATTAGTAATTTTGAACCACTTGAAGTATACAAAAGGTATACCTCACAATAAAAAAGGTGAATAAAGTATACAGACTTTGTACCCAGAAAACAACACAATAAGTAGACATTTTGTATACATACACATAAAGTATACCTTTTATAGGACTGAAACTTACCTCAGTGTTCTGGGCATCAAAGGATACATTTTGTATACCTTTACATGCATATATTTAACAATTATTCGCTGAAGGCAAGGTGAATATCGTTGAATAATCCCCTCGACTTTGTCTTGGGGATTATTCGACAATATTCACCAAACCTGCGGCGAATAATTGTTTTAGTATAATTTCAAAGCTGAACAACAGAGAAATTTCTAAAATCGTAACATTTTAGTAACATTTATTAACTTTTTATTTTAACATTTTATATAAACCGCNTTTTTTTTTGGAAGTTGTAATTGATGGTTATGATTAATTGGTAACAGGACTTTGTGTCGTCCAATTCAGTCTGTAGTCATTCTCTTGATTGACAGATCAGACTCTCACCTCAGTGGTCGTCCTATTTTGTCAACAGCTCATAAAAATTAGAGATAGAATTGGACTCCACTTAGTCTGATTACCATTATTAACCAAAGCACAATTTGAGTGACCTAGAATAGATTGAGTGTGTAGATAAACCTTGAAGCACTGAAGAAGGACTTGAGTTTGTTCTCAAACATAGAACAATATTCATAAAAAAAGCATACAATTGTTTTTTTTATGAATTCTTATGGATCGTTCAACACTTAAACAGTCATACATATCAGAATGTTTGTCCATGTCTCCCTTTTTTCCATAACACTTGTCACTCTACTGACTTTTTCAGTGAGGCTGAATTTAGAAAGCAAAGCATTCTGTCACTTATACCTAGCACTAATATAGTTAACATGTTTAACGTTTGAGTCTTGCCTGTGGTGTGGTTGCATAATGGAATCCCTTCATTCGTATTTTTTTCCGATCAGATTCAGGTACTGCTACTTCTGATTCAACAGAAAACTATGGGCCTCAGTAATTTAGTTGCATTTATATTCCAATATTACTTTGCTTTGAACTCTTAGAGTTTATCAACGTGTAATTTCTCCCGTCGTCTTAATCAATAGAGCCTTAGAATAAGGCTCTATTGATTAGTTATTTCATTTTCCTCGCTCGAGCGAGGACAGCAAGGAACTGTTTAGTGTTAACTTGTAAAACTCCTTCAAGAAGTCTACGACAGTTAGACGAAACGCGTCTGAGGATAAAAGTTTTATAACAACTGCTCGCATAGTACTGCTCACTAGTTTAAACTTTTTTCCAAAACTTGCTCTCCCACCTCGACCTCCTTCTTTGATAATGTGACCTGTCTTAATTTCTTTTCACGTTTTCTGATTTTAGGCTTTTCTGTCGACTCCAAAGACGCAACAGGCAGAACGTCCCTAAGGAATGCTTCTCTAAATGGCAGCGTCCAAGCGATGAAGGGTCTAATTAAGAGAGGAGCAGATCCGTCCCTGGTGGACAACAGAGGATGGAATGCGTTACATTTTGCCGCAACTGGTGGAGACACTGATGTCATTGATCTTATCCTTACTCACTTGCCGGACATTGAGTCCGAAACAGCCCCAGGTTACACGCCACTAATGGTGGCGGCTTTGAATGGCAAATTACACGCAGTGAAATGGTTTGTTGGGAAGGGGGCAAATGTAACCTGTGTTGATAACAATAGATGGAATATGTTACATTTTGCCGCACATGGTGGAGACACTGATTTCATTAATCCTATCCTTACTCACTTGCCGGACATTGAGTCCAAAACAGCCCAGGGTTACACGCCACTAATGGTGGCGGCTTTGAATGGCAAATTACATGCAGTGAAATGGTTTGTTGAGAAGGGGGCAAATGTAACCTGTGTCGATAACAAATAGATGGAATATGTTACATTTTGCCGCATATGGTGGAGACACTGACGTCATTGATCTTATCCTTACTCACTTGCCGGACATTCGGACATTGAGTCAAAAAATACCTATGGTTTTACTCCTCTAATCATTGCTGTTCGTTTTGGCAAGCTGCAAGTTTTAAAGTATCTCCTTGAGAGGGGAGCTAATCCTTTATTTAAGGATAATGACGGCCGGGATGTTTTATACCATGCCTCATCACGTTACCCAGATGTTCTTGAGTTCCTGCTGAGTCTCGTAGCTAGCAGTGAGTCAGCAAGCGGCAATGATTAACTGAGGTTGGTGAGATAAGTTCTACAGATTATTTCATGTTCGCTTAATTCTTCCATGTCAAAATGTAAATCACTGGTTTGATCGCCCCATCAACTTCAAAGCTGACCCGAATGAGTCGTATGTTGGGTAGTTACTATAGGGCTGCCTGTGGCACGCACATGTGANCTGTTTCTATCGTCTGGAAAGGGAGTGAAAACTTTTCCTCGTTTGATAAATATTGTTATTGATCTTCCGACGGGGGATACACACGGCTTTCAGGGGGAAGGGAGGTTGAATCCGTCATTGCTATCAGACTTTAATTAAAGGGGAGGGCGACTCCCAATACGTGGCGTCATTAGAATAAATAGAGCATAAGGAAGAGGAGGGTGGGAGAGGAATCAGGAGAATTTTTTTAAATTTTGGTTCAAAGAAGATCCACCGATTCCACCCCCTCCTTGCAGGCGATGATTAGTAGCCAGTCCATAAGAGGAAAAAAAATTGAACTGAGGAACAGACCAAACCGGCGTGATGATATTTTCGTCTGAATGAATTTATTTTCACGGGAGTCACCTCTTCCCATATCATGTAAATCTGAAGGCAGAACATTAACGGATCCAATGGAAATCGGTGACAGATTTTGCAAATACTTTACAAACATTGGTTCCAACCAAGCTGGATCTATACCCAGCGTGAATCCTTCTTTTCGTTCCTATCTCGGTTACAACAGACATCCCTCCATTCACTTAAAACCCACCATAACTAGTGAACTGGAGAGTACTTGTAGCGTGTTCGCTTCAAAGAAAGCTCCTGGCTCTGACGGTATCCCAATGCATGTCATTAAATATTAATTTCACCTTGACTTGTAGCACAATCTTGGTGCCCATTTGTGTAACATAAGGCATTTTTATGAAAATGCAGCAAGTGTGCCAAAAATATTATTGTTTGCTAGATACAGGCTAGTTATCATCATAAAAGCATTTTTAATGAGTTTTGCGATGTTTGTAAGATTTTTAAAGCGAAGTTATTAAATACCCACAATCCTCTGTGGGCGTGGCATTTGACTCTCACTTGATTTCACTGGCCATAATGACTAAAATGTAATATATAAATATATTTCAACACTATCTGGATTTACAAAGAGGCAATAATTTCTTCATTGACATCCATAGGGACTTTGTAAATGTTATTTCTTTTTCTCTTTAGTTCTCCACACACACGTCTCACCGTTCCGGTAAGAACAAATGCACTTTTTTTTCCGTCACGATTTCGATCGTAATACTTTCTGTTAACTTCTTCCTTTTTCCCTGTCTTTTTTTCTCTCCACTTTTTCATCTTTTCAACACTTGAAGAGCTTTCCTTATTGCCATTCATCTTTGAAGAACTCCGTTGTTTCCGCTCTTTTCAAGATTGTGAAATCGGGTGGATAGCAAGAACTGAAGTAGGCATAGCAATCCAGCACGTGTTTTAGACCCTGAATTGTCCACGAAACACCCCACATATTCAGAGGAGAGGTTACAAAGAGCCCTTCGATGTTTACTCCTCGATTTGAATGGAAAATTACGGGTTTGAGAGCTTCGTCTTGTGCAGTTTTCTGTGCAGAGCGCGTTTGAAATTTGATCGTTACACTTTGATAAACACCAGGCAAGAGTGAATATAAGTTTCCGATTTGGCTTATTTCGTATATCTTTGTTTGTATTGTACATAAGGCTTTGAAACTTTGGGGATTTGTATCCGATTACATGAACTGTGTTGTGGAGATGTCTAGGCAGCCAAGGTGACCTGGAAGCTGAGATACGCACTTTTAACTGAATAAGTAGTATTTTATTTTCGTCGATACTTATTGACGACATCGTTTCCGAATTGGGAAATCACTAATTTCGTCCTGGCTGTTGCTTATTTTGAAGAAATAGCTTTACAAGAGGATAAATAGGTCTATGAACCTTACTCACACAAATCAACTTCATTTCTAGGTCGGCGGTCAAGTTGCCAGACCCGCACTTGTATGATGCGAAACCCTGTTGGATCTACAGCGTTACACAAGCAGACAACGGCAACGAGAATTCAAGTTTTTATTCATGTTGTTTTAAAAACTGACATTGAACACTGTCACTTTGCACACAGTGTACTTTGGTCCTACTCAATAAATGGATGTAATGGAAGTTTCAAATTGTTGTGGTTTGAAGCACAAAATTTAGCCTTCTACCTATATTTATGCAAATGAGATGTTACGCGTTACACCGAAAATAAGGGTATATTTGCAGTAATCTTCAATATTTTTCCACTCTTAAATTATTTCAAATGAGAATATAATGATGTTTTATTAAACTACAATCATTGTAGCACAAAAAGGGCAGTTTTTGAGACAATCCGTCATTTGCTATCACGAACTCAGACTATTGAGACCAACTCTGCCCCTTTTATCTCCAAACTAGGAATTTTAGATATTTTTCTATGTCAATACGTTTGAAATCGCCAAATTCATGTTTTATTTAAAAAATAACTTATTGCCCCCATTGCTTCTCGATCTTTTTGTAAGAATAGCCAAATTCACAACTATGGTACCAGAACAGCCAGTAATTATCGAACGCATTTGTGCCGTACAAATGTCAAGCGGTTTAAAATTCTCTATCAAGGCCCTAAAGTTTGGAACTCTCTCCCTATTTCAGTCACTCGTTCGTCAAACTTTCTCAGCTTTAAAACGAAATTGCAAGACTTTTTACTTAAATAATCACTGAATTGGCAAAGCCGCACATTCGCAGCACTTTTTCTTCACTTAATTTATTATTGTAAGTGAGGTGGCTCTCCCATAAGCCTGGTGGCTTCTTGGGTCTCCTCGCCAACTGTTATCGCTGTAATTAAATGTTTTTTAATTGTTAAAATAAGGCAAATAGAGATGATGATGATGATGAAGATGAATGCGCCTCCAAAACACCTCTCACGGACAAAACAAAGAGCCACATCCGTGTCATATCAAACTGAATGCCACCGGTTCAGCATTCTGTTGCCCTTTAGAGCTAGCCCGCAGAGATTACTTATGCAAGCATAGTTAGTAGTCCCCTCTACTAACTATGATGCAGGTCATAAAAGAATTTGTAACGCAATGAAGTAACGGCGCAGAAAGGATTAAAACTGGTTTAAAACATGATAAGCCAATCACTGTACGGAATTGATGTCAATCACGAGTCTTGTTATTAAATTATATCTGTCACTAAAGGCAACGCCTATTTAGTAAAAAAAAGCACTTTGAAAGAGAAATGTAAACCAGAAGCATTTCATTGGGCAAGTGATGATAGGTTTGGTTTCTTGTTGCCATGGATAATGTAATACCCATATTACGTGACCTAGATCAAGACATGGTTGAATGTCTTAGCTTTGTTGTGACGCTGTAACTAAATTCTGATCAATGTTGAAGCTCATTAGTATACGCTCAAGCTGAAGCTCTTGTAATGCTGCGAGTGGTGGGTTTATTTCGGTGGTAGGACNTGGTTAGATATTCTAGTCTTCTCGGATAGGGACGAATAAATGGAGGTCCCGTCTCCTGCAGGGTTAGGGGCAGGAGACGTTAATTTCCCACGCACGAGATTACTGTGTGATGGATGTCCTCCCTTGGGGTGGGATGGGTGGGTAACAGCGCTTTGGACAATTAGTGGATTTTAGCGCTATATAAATAAAATTATTATTATTATTTTTATTATTATTATTATTTCGGAAAAATCACTCAACATCGCATGCGCTAATTCATTTGGTAAATAAAATTGCATCTGCAATCGACCAACACCAAACAACGGTGAGTGTTTTCCTAGATCTTTCCAAAGCATTCGACACTCTCGACAACCAAATCTTGTTTGCCAAATTGGAGCACTATGGTATCCGTGACGGGGCTCTGCAGTGGTTTAAAAGCTACTTCTTTCCGCCGTCAATTTGTCCAATTCAATCAAGCTTGCTCTCCGATGCAAACCATCAAGTGTGGTGTCCCTCAAGGTTCAATTTTAGGCCCACTATTGTTTATTCCATAGATTAATGAGCTTCCTAATGCCTCTGAATTATCTGAATTATTATTATACCTCTACTTTTCGCTGATGACACCAGTATCTTTTATTCTCACTGAAATGTACATTGCTTAGAATCCATACTTAATGATGAACTCCAAAACATTGATGTTTGGCTAAAATGTAACAAGCTTTCAGTTAATATAAAGAAAACCAACTATATAATTTTTAAACCCAGACAGAAGAAATTTAACTCCAGCATTTCCCTCTCCTTCGGAGGTAAACCCCTACAACAAGCTTATGTAACTAAATTCCTTGGTGTCTATATTGACAATCATATCACCTGGAAATACCATATCAGCTATGCATGTAAACAAATCGCTAAATCAATAGGTACTATATTTAGGTCTCGCTTTCCCTACCCTCTGCAACCAAACTCACTTTGTATTACACCTTAGTTTATCCTTATATCGTCTATTTTAACTCCGCCTGGTCGTGCACATACGTATAACTTAAATATGATTTATCATTTGCAAAAGCGGGCTGTGCGGGCTATCACGAACTCAGACTATTGAGACCAACTCTGCCCCTTTTTTCTCCAAACTAGGAATTTTAGATATTTTTCTATGTCAATACGTTTGAAATCGCCAAATTTATGTTTTATTTAAAAAATAACTTATTGCCCCCATTGCTTCTCGATCTTTTTGTAAAGAATAGCCAGATTCACAACTATGGTACCAGAACAGCCAGTAATTATCGAACGCATTTGTGCCGTACAAATGTCAAGCAGTTTAAAATTCTCTACCAAGGCCCTAAAATTTGGAACTCTCTCCCTATTTCAGTCACTCGCTTGTCAAACTTTCTCAGCTTTAAAACGAAATTGCAAGACTTTTTACTTAAATAATCACTGAATTGGCCAAGCCGCACAATCGCAGCACTTTTTCTTCACTCAATTTATTATTGTAAGTGAGGTTGCTCTCCCATAAGCCTGGTGGCTTGTTGGGTCTCCTCGCCAACTGTTATCGCTGTAATTAAATATTTTTTAATTGTTAAAATAAAGCAAATAAAGATGATGATGATGATGAAGATGAATGCGCCTCCAAAACATCTTTCACGGACAAAACAAAGAGCCACATCCGTCTCATATCAAACTGAATGCCACCGGTTTAGCATTCTGTTGCCCTTTAGAGCTAGCCCGCAGAGATTACTTATGCAAGCATAGTTACTAGTCCCCTCTACTAACTATGATGCAAGTCATAAAAGAATTTGTAACGCAATGAAGTAACGGCGCTTAAAGAATTAAAACTGGTTTAACACATGATAAGCCAATCACTGTACGGAATTGATGTCAATCACGAGTCTTGTTATTAAATTATATCTGTCACTAAAGGTAACGCCTATTTACTAAAAAAAGCATTTTGAAAGAGAAATGTAAACCAGAAGCATTTCATTGGGCAAGTGATGATAGGTTTGGTTTCTTGTTGCCATGGATAATGTAATACCCATATTACGTGACCTAGATCAAGACATGGTTGAATGTCATTAGCCTTGTTATGACGCTGTAACTAAATTCTGATCAATGTTGAAGCTCATTAGTATACGCTCAAGCTGAAGCTCTTGTAATGCTGCTAGTGGTGGGTTTATTTCGGTGGTAGGACAACTTTGAGCTCACCATAGGAACTTCTACAAGGACAGATACACTTCAAGTGAGGTTTGCGAAACGAAGCACAACTAGAAAGGCATGCGCGTAATCTTCGACGCGACGATCTCGCCCGGCGGGGCTTTCTAATTTGGCGATGGATGATTTTGAAATCGAAGATGAAGTCTCGAGGCCTATCGATATTATGTTCGTCTGCAGTGAATGGGGCTCTAAAAAGGGAGGCCTCTCCACATTCAATAGAGAGTTCGCTGTGAACTTAGCGAAGAATTCTGTGGATAACATAAGAGTTCACTGCTATGTATGTGAGTGCACACAAGATGAAAAACAAGATGCGAGCAGACAGGGTGTCAATCTCATCCTTGCACGGCGCCCTCCAGGTTCCAGTGATCCACTTGAATCTATAAAAATTCCACCGCCTGAGCTGCCACATCCTGATGTCGTTGTGAGTCACGGACGGAAATTTGGTGGTGCTGCTTACTTCATTCGGAAGGTGACAAACTGCGTTGGGTGGGTGCATTTTGTTCACGTCTCCTGTGAAGATTTAGGAAAATACAAAGCAGAGGGTGACACCGCGGATGATGCAATCGCTGAAAACGAAGAGAAAAATAAACGAGAGTTGGAGCTATGCGAAGCAGCTGATCGAGTTGTTGCTGTTGGTATCGGTCTACAACTGAAATACATCAAACGAATTCCTCACATTATCGTCATCACACCAGGACTTTTTGAAAAGTTCGCTGGAATCTATCAGGAGAGACAGTTGGGCAGAGTTCCAAACGAGCGGCAGTTCAGCGTTTTTATGTTTGGTCGTGGAAGCTTTGAAGACTTTAGACTGAAAGGATACGACATCATTGGAAAGGCTGTTGCTTTACTTGATAGGAAGTTTGAACTCACATTCGTTGGAGCACCCCTAAAAGAACACAGCAAGATAGAGAAGTGGTTTCTTGAAGAAACAGAAATAGCTCGTAATCAGTTAACGATTCGAGGCTTCTGCGATTCTGAAGATATGAAAAAGATGTTCCTTGAACCTGACCTTATCGCAATGCCGTCTCGCGCAGAGGGCTTCGGTCTGGTGGCGCTCGAAGGAATCTCAGCTGGGATCCCTGTTCTCATTTCTGGGGAATGTGGGATTGCTAAAGCATTAGAGCAAGTGGATGGTGGTAGGTCGGTGGTCGTATCTTCAGACTTTCCAGAGGAGTGGGCAAGAAGAATCCGTTTATTGTCAGAACAGACACCCGATGAAAGAAATGATCGAGCCCTAAAGCT